TAATGAATATTATTTTTATCGCGTATTAAGGTCGAACATACATCTGTTTCCATGACCTACTTTTTTTCAGCAGAATTAAGTATTCTTAATTCTCTCATGTGAAGAGACACCCTTTAATTAGGATTTATTTCAAAACTTGTAGGGTTAGGCACTAGTTATGGTTGCATTCTCTCCCGAATTTTCAGTAGCTTTAATTTTTTACTACACTATATTCAACATAATTCATTTATAATTCGAAATTTCTTATTTTATTTTTCATGTAGAACAAACATAACAAAGCAGTTGTTTTTACATGTGGCTAATACTAATAGATATACTGTAAATGTTTTCATTGTTCTGTTTACAGTGAAGTCATCCGTTTGTTTAACCTCATATAATTAAATTCAAAGCTGTAAAGATCACATATTCGTTAAAATAAGGCTGAGAACCAAGTGCATTTTACATTTTTAATATACGTTTTCAGAGCCACTTGCTGTTGTAAACGATAGGTGTCAATAAGGGTCATAAATAACCATAACAACACAAAATAATAAAAGGAGGTGTAAATGTGGTTTCAACGGCTGGAGGTGATATTTAACATAATAAGCACTGGCAAAATAACTGATGTGAATGCCACGTTGATGATATGCTCCAAATCTACGTTTTATAACACAGACGTATATGGAAAACCACAAGATCTCATTTAGAATGATTCTCTGTGGAGTACAAAGCTCATACTCAGAGAGAATGTTATGCATATGGAGAATTTGGCCTCCTGAACCACCGAAAGTGCAAATCTACGTGGTAATGAAGAGACATAGTTAAAGATACGTACTGTAACACTAACTGTATCCACGTTATGGAAAGTGCATTGTTTCAGTCTTAGATGGATCACTAATGTTAACAGCCTGGATTGGGGTTATTTTCAGTAGGATTTAGATTTAAAAGAGCTGATATAGCTGCAGACGACTGTCTGAAATCGTATACTTTAGAACATCAACAGTTACGTTCTTTCTGTCCCGTGACAAGCAATAACTTGCAACAGGTCAACCTCCGAAGTACTTAATATATAAATCGTTTAAAATAACATGTCAGAAAACACTTGTTTTTTTAATAAAAATTTTAACAACAAAACATTAATAACAAACGATATGCAATACAAGAACACTAGCAATAATATAATAACAGCAAAAACAAAATATATGTAAAGGACACATAAAACTGGAATCAAAAAATCGAATATGCTTACAGGTTTCACCAGGCATAATCAAGTTAGATTATCAGTTTTGATAAATAGTGTATTTTAAGCAAAGCAAAATTAACAAAGTTCACTCTGAAACAAAACTGTCAATTCCAACTGATAGCTAGCATTATAAAAAATATACATGATAATGGAATCTTAAAACTCTTCCGGCACTTGCGAAGTAGCCCCCGAAATTGAATAGAAATGTTACATCACGAGTTCCTAATTTTATGGCAAAAAAAATAGTTATTTCAACATTTCTACAGTTTAAAATTTCAAATGATTCAAAAAGAAATAACCAGTACTATCATGCTTAAATTAAATTCTTAAAAGCCCAGATTAAGTATGAACAACATTATAAGATAATTATTCTCAGATGAAACCAATTCTGAGCTGAAAAATGGGGCAAGTTATTTTGATTTCTTCATTTTCAACAAATAATTAAAAGATGAAATCATAAGATAATTAATAAATGTTCACTAACTTATTTGAAAAGTAATAATTTGAAGACAACAAAATTTGTCTTTTCTCGACAATCCTAATGAAGGTTTCCTTAATCATTCACCTTACCAGTTAAATAAATCCGAAAACAAATTATTAGCTAGAGGATTCAAATTTGGATTTCCTCGTAGCATTTACTGTCAATTTTAATGCCTTCACCCTCTGTATTGAAAAATTGCTATGTAATCACAAACGTTTATCAGTTTTGATTAAGAATAATGTAGATTTTGACTATATAACAACTGTAATTTGTAGCATTTCATCATAGTCTTGATTCATATATTAACAGCAAAAACTGTATGTATTTAATAAACAAGAGTGGGAAGCTTTAAAAAGATTAAGGACTCGAATGGAAGTTACCCTCTCAAAACCCGATAAAAGAAAGAGTATTGTCATTGGCAAAATATATTATATTCAAAAATGAACCACATTCTTGAAGATAAAACTAAATTTTTAAGACTGATCGTGTATCCCACAAAATCCAAGAGGACATCGTACAGAGTTACTGAAACTACATACAAAAAACAACATATATTTATTATGAGATTATCTCCCCAAATGACTCAGCGGCACGTCTGAAGGCTTATAACGCTGGTTACCCATGCGTAGCTCTAGGCTTGACAACAACAAAAAATTAAAATTTTAACAACTCAGACCAGTAGATTCGGAATCAGGTATTTTGTATGGATTACTAAAAATTCCCACAAGAACTGCCATGCGAGACCCATGGTATCGATTATTGAAACATTAAATTATTAATATTTGAATTTCTCAAACTTTCTTAGTGCTTACAGCTTCACAGTCAAGGTCAGCTTGGAACTTACCGAGTTTATCAATAATTTAGAAATTATGAAGAGGTATTACCGTGCTAATTTGTACATTGAATCTTTATTTACAAAAATACCACTAAACCAGACTACTAATTTATGTGAAGAGAAATTTAATACGTTAATGGATTAAAGAAGTATATCTACATAAATATTATATTAACTGTCTGTTCTGTGTCCATGTTACTACTTTGCAAGGTGTGGATGGATCTTCACCAAAATAGATATGGAGGTTCATTAGGTCCTTACAAATTTTCAGTTTTGCATTTTTTACCACCACTTCGCCCCCTGTAGATGAATCTTCACCAAATTTGGTATGGATTTTCATTGGGTCCATGCGGAGATACTTGCAAATTTGAGGTTTCACATTTTGTATTTTGCAGTTTTTATGGGCGTTTTTTACAACTACACACAAGGGAAACAGCTTTTCATGTCCTAAGATAACCTTTCATTAATCATGAATTTACACAAGTTCCGTCCAGGGGACGGGTACTCCAGCTAGTATTTAATAAGTTATCAGGAGCAGCTACGAACAATATCATTTTTATATTCGACAGCAACTTATAATGGTAAAGTTGATAGTACTTTAGGTTCCGCATTAGACCTTGTATTACTTAATGTGTTTTATGGAAGACATTGGCTGAAATCATGCCATGTTAAATTTAAATTTACATACATCTTACTAACGTTATATGAATGACATGTTTATGGTATTTAAAGATGACTTAGAAATGTTTAATGGAATACATGAACCATTGCATCAAAATTTACTGTCGAAGAATCCGAAATAATAGAAACTGATAAACACAGTCTCTCACACACACCTACTATACTGGCTGATTTTCACATTTTAAGAGCTTCATTCCGATCCAGCATAAACTTAATTTGATATATATTTGTACATAGAACGTACAATGTCAACGTTTATAAAGTTCTTATGAATAATTAGGTCTAATAAAAGAGGCGTTATAATCAAATAATTATCTGATTCAACATATAATTGAAAGGTATGTCTATAACTCGAACTTCCCTCTCCAAGCATGTACAAAGATTGCCGATAACATGAAATATTATATATGGATTTGTTTGTAATTAAGCACAAAGCTACACGACTATCTGTGCTTTGACCACCACGGGTATCGAAACCCGGTTTCTAGCGTTGTAAGTCCGCAGTGGCACTGGCGGGTTTATACATGGGAATTTACAGTAAATTTGGAACATTTTTAAAGATTTATACTAATTTCAGCTTAGTACAATTTTTAACTCTTCTTTAAGCCTGCTATTTTCTTTACTGTCAAAGAGATAATATCCCAAAAAATCTTGTAGTAGTGTTTGAATACAAGTGTGTTATGTAATTTGATGTATATATGCAGTATCAAGCGCCCCCTACGAAAACAAAATATAAACAAACACGCCCAAGTTGGATATTAACATTCGTTAACAAGCAAAGGGAAGTATGTGATAGAATTGTTTGTTTGTTTTTGAGTTTTGCGCAAAGCTACACGAGAGCTATCTGCGCTAGCCATCCCTAATTTAGCAGTGTAAGACTAGAGGGAAGGCAGCTAATCATCACCACCCACCGCTAACTCTTGGGCTACTCTTTTACCAACGAATAGTGTGATTGACCGTCACATTATAACGCCCCCATGGCTGAAAGGGCGAGCATGTTTGGTGTGACGGGGATTCGAACCTGCGACCCTCATATTGTGAGTCGAGTGCCCTATCCACCTGGCCATGTGACAGAAAAGCGCTGCATTTCATATGCCTGTCAGAAAATTAGAATTCTATCCCGCTCTTCAAATGAATGGACATTACCCATCAAATGGATCATTCTGACATCACAAAGAAAACTACGACTGAACCAAGGGAATTCTGCAATTCCAACGTCATTACCTCCTCGAAGATATCGAGTGGATCCAATTATTTTTGTACTGTTTTTTTAAACTAAATATACAATTCTGTTTTGTCTAAATATTGAGTTTTTTATTGTTTAGCTTATGTATTTCAGAAGTTCTATTTTTATACTTTCTGTACAACCTGATAATGCCAGGCAAATAACAAAAAATAACACAATAGTAATAATAAAATAACAATCAAAAAGAATAACTTTACATCCGAGTAACAATAGAATAACAGTAACAACATAATAGTGAAAATATAATAGTAATGATAGATGAATAATAACAGCAGAATAAAAGAATAGTACTAAAATACCATTACTAACAGAAAAGTAATAACAGCAGGACAGTAATAATGTAATAGTAATAGATGAATAATAATAATAACAAGTAATTTGTAACACAGTAGTGTTAATAACAGGAGAGTAATAAAAAAGTGTATGGTGAATGGTGAAAATATTTGTAATGATTAATTCATTCACATGTGCATCATATATATGTTTTTTTAAAAAGTCCAAGCTGTACCTTAAAATAAACACAAATACAAACACACAGTTTTTAAACATTTCTTTAATTATAACTGTATACTTAAGAATTAATATGCTAATATCACTTTCTCCAAACAGATAATGAAAAAGGCAGTCAGCTGTTTCTCAAACAAAAGATGCAATAGGTGCATGTACCATTGAAAGTTCAAAATAGAAAGAGATGTCATGTTTCGTATAATAATACATCAAAATCATTGATTGAAACTACTTTTTTACACTATATAAAGATGTCAAATCCTTTTAACAATCCTTCAAAACAGAACCACTTGTTAAATTGAAATACTTCATCAAAATGTGGGTCATAATTTGACTTTTCAATACAGATAACAAATTTTGTAATTATGAACCAGAAAATAAAACTAACTGGTTGATACTCTTTAAAATGAAACATTTAATCAGAATGAGAAAGTTTGGGTCAGTGTGCAAAATATTCAATAAAGAAACTAGCCGAAACTCTACAAAGACTACTTGTCAAACTATTTTTATTTTACCCAAATGGGAATTATGGGTAATAGTTTGAATCTTTCAAAATTACATACTAAAATCAGAGATCACATCCAAACACATAATTGTGGTCATAGCTTAAGCTTTCAGCATAGGTAGTGCTTGTTCAACTGAAATATGTAATTACAGGTTATAATGCAATCTTGAACACAGCAATTAAATACTTTGAGTCTCATAAGGTGGGTTATTATATGATAATAATAAATGATGCACAAGATTTCTTCACAATTTTCTTAAGCTTCTGACTGATATATTCAAACAGTCTTCACACTTTTTTCCTACACCCAGATATAGGAATGGTTTCATTTCACACATTACCAATTTAAAATTTAATGACAAATAGAGAAATATTTGACTAAGAATGAGAGAAAGAAGTTACTTTAAACTTTTCAGATATAGAAAATACTGTGAAAAAAAACCTTCATCAACTTATAAATAACACATGTATGAGGTATGGTTAGGCAACATTAAAATCATACACAGAAACATCATGTATGATCAAATTTGCATCATGCAACTTAAAAACAACTTTATCAATAGACATTACAAAAGGTCCTCTCTGTATTATAAACTCAACACTGGACCAACACAATGATTAGCAACTGGATTGATTGTGAAATGAAATCCTTCTTACAAAATTTAATCTGCCACTTACCCCTGAGGAAAGAAATATACTTTCTAAAAGTGCTCAAATTATTGGGTTTCTTTTCTGATACTATAGTTTAATCTGATAAAGTGAAAATGTTCTCCTTGTATTTAACACATTCATGTAGGATATGATTGTATGTAGTTTGATTTGGTTCAGTTGTATCAACCACTTTCAATTCCCTCTTGTTACAACTGACCATGAGAATGTAACCTACTTTTGTATACATAATTTTTTCTTGAATATGCTCAGTTTTAATAAAGGTATTTAAGTGAACTCCCTAGACAATAACCTTACAGCTAAGCTCAACACTTCAATGTCTTAACAAAGTTAACTAATACTGGCATACATAAAGCTTTTTACAATAGTATTTAACTACTCATGTTATTACTAGGAATGTTTTTTCACTGTATAGTGAAACGTTCAGTTAATTTATCCACCTTGACAATGACTGCATTATACACGTCAAAATCTTCTTAAGGTGTAGATAATTAATTTTGAGAAATCCCATGTAATTTGTTTTCTATGAAAATGGCTAACAATTCGTCAAATTTTTAACCCAATATTATGCAAGAAATGGCTATATAAGCTTATAACTCTACATCCTCAAAATAAAAATTATTAATGCAAAAAAATATATATAGTTATATATTTGAACAGAAATTGCCTTGTTACCAGTTTTCATCTACAAGAAGACATAGATTTTTAATCAAGAGAATGATTATTTTATTATTCTTATTATGCCACAGCAATATGTTTTTGAGTATCTGCACAAAATGCATTCATCATAAAATCTGGACTAGCATAGTAACTTTTCTAGCAAGAAATATCGAGTAAATAAACATTTCTTTACAGAAAGAAAAACCACTAATACAAAAAAAAACTGTCTGAAACAAGCATTTAAGAATATAATATATAAATAAATTATACATCAAGGAACAACAACAACACCTACTAATAAGACATCTGTATTAGCAAACATTAAAAGAGTTTTTTAATTTTTTGTCTTTTTTTTAAAGTGATTCAATACATGGCTAACATTAGCTAATCTCTCTATTGAATTTATTACATGTAAACTAGTTACTCATAAGAAAAAAAATTAATTCAAGACAGACATTTCAGTATAGACTTTTATAACTTATCAGGATCTAAAAACTAAAAGTTTAAAATAAATTCCTTAAAGAAAATATTTCCTTTTCAGACTCGACCAATATCACAAATAAATGAATGCCCATTATAATAATATAATGATGTATGGAAACTAGGTGCTTATAAATTACATTTATCAAGATTCTAATAAACATGATCAACTATTGGTATCCTTGTTGATATGGGGAACGAGGATAACTTCGAGAAAAAGGATTGACAGTTGCTGGGTCTTTGGCTGCTGGATGCTGTTGTGGAGGATTGTAGCTAGAGTCCTGAGGATAAGGTTGACCAGATTGGGACAGCTGGTATGCCAAGGATGATGTTGGAGGATGATATCCTTGCAAAGCTGATGCTGAAGTAGCTGTGTATCCTTGGCTGAGGGATTAAACATTCAAACACCTTTATGGTAATAAGCAAGTAAATATTTTCTTGATATAATAATATTTAGTGAATCATTACTGAAATATTTTAGATAAATAATTAATGTTCTCTCCTGGTTTTCACAAGTTCTTTTCTTAAACTGTTTGGTTCTACATGATAATTTTAAATTTTTTAACTTCATAAACTTTTTGCAATCAATCCACATACAATAGTATTTATCACCACCAATTCTCCTAAAATATTTTTGAGAAGTCTTTGTTTTTTTGTGAAAATATTCAATTACATACAACAACTTAATAATTTCTTACCCCAATAAATTTTCCTGGGTCTTTCTCAATCAAAGTCTTTAAATTATATAATAACAATTATCATATAAGTATTTAACATACTTTTTTCAACTGTTTACTTCAAAAAAATTAACTTAATTTTTTTTTTACATTTATTGTTTCAGTGAAATTATTTAATTCCATTTACTTATTTAATGTTTTCATGAACACTTGACTAACTGTTCACGCAAAGTTGTAATAAGCTTTGATTTCCAAACTTTTTAATTCAAAATTTTAACTTTACAATATAAATTTATGTACTAACTTAGTAATGTAAAAAAAAAAAAATTGTCTTTCAAAAGATTTTACTATCTTGTGGGTGGAGTGACAAACAATAATTTTTAATCTGTGCTTTGAAGAACTACAAGTTATTTTACCTAATAGGTGGGGTCGATTGCTGCTGCTGCTGATATCCAAGTGATGTTGGCCGTACTGGTGGTGGATGTTGAAGAGCACCATAACCTGTAGGTTGACCCCCAACAACATAGAAAGGTTTGCCTAACTGTTGAGAAAGTGGCTGATAAAGCTGTTGCTGAGGCAAAGCTGCATATGGACGAGAAATACCTACAAATAAACATTTTTTTATTACATTACGTGACAGAGAAAGTATCACAGCAACAGAAAACACTGTTAAAGAAATGCACACAGAAAATCTGAAAATGCTAAGATCACCATATGATATATAAAAGTGTTAAAGATTTTCATGATCTAACATATAATTTGTTTTTGGAAATCAAATTATATCTCAATAATGACAAAATTAAAAACTAGTACTTAATTTGGTTATCTAAAAAATGAGAATATTACATCATTTAACAAATTCCTTAATTTTTTTGGAAGGCAACTATCTTGCCTATGAAGCAATTGTCATTAACATTTTCATCTTTTTTTTGTCTTACAAAAAGAATTGTAGATAATTAAGTTACAATACTTTGCAGTGAAGATTCATCTGCACCCACTAAATGTGTGGCTGATGTTAATTATTTCTAGTATGCTCATTATGTACTCAATAACTTTTATAATTTTCCAAATTTCCCATGTTTATAACTAATTTTAAAACAACAATTAGAAACTGACCCAAGATAATAAGGTGAGAGACAGAGAAAATTCCTATTTTCTGCACTTAAATCTATTATTGAAATTATGTTTTCAACATGTGAATAATGTTTAGCAATAGGCTCAAAAGATTTGGTTGAAGTAAAAACTGTGATACTCAAATACATTTTAGAAACAATTTTAGAAAAAATAAAGATTCACAATGTTTAAATTGATTGTAAAAATAATGTTCATGTCCAAAATTAATCTATTTAAATACTGTTTATTAATGTAATGTACAGGAAGAAAAACAAACATTCATTTTTATTCAACAGATGTGCTATAATTAATATATACACAGTATTTACTTATTTAAAAGAAGAATTGTATCACGTTTTTTTTAATGAAATAACAGTATTATAGTTTATCAATTTTTTTAAAACAAATTTGTATTTTACTTCAAACAACAACCATCCAAACTTGAATCTTATCTTAAAAACTTCAATAATTTCATTAAATCTTTGCACCTTGCTTATCTGCAGGATTGTTTGTACAGATTGGACAATTACATTAAATATTGAGGTAATTTATCTATATATGTATTAAAGTAGAACCTTGTATTTACTTCATGTCATGTAAATTTTAATAATTACTTGCATGAATAGATTGAGCATATGATTTTGATCACCCTCGTACAATTCTGCAGACTTTAGAATTTAAAATTTATTAAAAACATTCAGTATGCAGTTTTTAGTGAACTTATGAATACATTAACAGCAGCCACTTACAGAGTATTGTGATCAATAAGTTAATTATCAAATGGATTGTCACCACACAAATTTACAGATCATGATGGCAGAAGTATTTATATGATCAAAGCACAAATTATTAAAATAGAGAACTAATTCATATTTCATCAGGCAGTTAAATCAAGTTGCATATATATTAGATATTTCAAGAAATGTCTTTAAAAACAATACAGGAAAATTCAGAAAGAAGAAAACAGAAATTACTGCCACAGAAATAATTTCATGGAAGGCTTAAAGAATATGGAACATACAATATGGCATGAATCAACAATAAATAGGCCAAAAATAACGACCATTGAAACATCAAATGCCATGCGATATTGCAATGTTTTCAAATGGCAGATATGTGTTGGCTATGTATTAAAACTCATTCTTGACTAATATAAAAAACAAAAAAAGCTGAATTACATTACACTTTGAACCATATACATACAAAAAATAAAGAGAGAAAATGACCTGGTTGGACTTGTGGTGGACTTTGACCTTTAAATTGTTGAGTAAGACCAGACTGTTGAACTTGCCTGTCAACAAGTTCAGGATTTGTTGTAAATTGCTGAGAATCAGGATAAACTTGTTGCTGTTGTCCATGGTAACTTGTTGAAGAACTTCGACTGGATACACTGTCAGGTGTAGTTGCTCTACCATGCTCTGCACAGAAACTCAGAGTTATTGTTCATAAACACTGAAAAACCTGCAGCAAAATTTATTTACCACAAAGAAAGACAAAATTACAGTACATAATGTATTACCTCACCTTACAAAGAAATAAGGAGAACATACTCTTAGGTCAACCTAGAAAGTCTCTATCTTGTATATATAAAGATGGAGGTGAACCTACAAAAACAATGTTATGAATAAGGATAAAATCAAGTGTTGGAAACAAGACAGATACAGTACAAGTAATAGCAACAATGTAGTTACTAATACATTGTCATCAACAATAAGTTCAAATTAAGATAAATATACTTCTAATTTTAAAATTTCCTTATTTTCTCTGTAGGGCTGCATTCTAAGGTTTGTTCCCTACCAAAGAGTTCATTGATAGTCCTGAACATTCGGAGGTTCATCAGACAGCACTTAAGCAGTATCAGACCTTTTTTCTTTTCTCTTGCTAACAGCTTCATCCATTTATTGGAGATGAGCATTATGGTGAAGCACATGTTTGGTTGTTGAATTGCTTCAATAAAATGTACTTAATGCGTAGTGCACAAGAATTAAGAAAAGTGTTGTTGTACAACAAGTATGAAACAGAAAATATACACTCACATGTTGAGAAAGGTGTGCCAGTGTAACCTTATACTGCTCCTTAACCCCCAAGGTGTATGTTTAATTAATCAAAGATGTTCAAAAAACAAAAAGAGTTAATGATAATAACACTCCACTTTTGGTTAGAGTTAAAGTTTGGTATTTATTTTCTAATCAAACTGTGCTACTCTGTTATGTTTTGCTGCTTATTTCTTATTATGTTTATTAGGTATGTTTAATTAATCAATAACTTTATTTTAAAAAGACTACATAAAGATTTGTAAATATATGTTAAACATTTCTTTTTATTTTCACCAGAGATGAAATTGAAAAGCAAAGCTGTGATGTAGAGGCCTAATACATTCTTTGATTGGCCATACCCTCTACTATGTACTGCAGTTTCACCCATTCAAAGCTCATCAGCACAGCTTGGGTCAGGAAACCAAAGAAATACTATTAGATCTCTAACAATGGAGAAGTAAAATGGACTCAAAATCCCATAGATGTTAAATAAAGATTTGGTTTGCTCAAGTCAGTTGCAGTTCTTTTGGCTGCAACAGGATGCTTTTTCAATGCAACCTTAGTCTTAGTAGCTTTATGAATATTGCATGTGCACCAAGTAAGAGTGTATATACACACACACACACACACACACACACACATACATACATACATACACATATATATATTTATTTATCTGAAGTATAAAAACATGAATACTGTTCTATACAAGATATTTTAAACTACATATGAATGTTTTATTTCACTTATATGAACTACTTATAAAATAAAAGGGTAGTGACGTTATCAATACACTATGCAACTTAGTATTATTGAAAGTTCGAACCTTTGTTTAGTAATGTGTTCCAAACTTTTGAAGGTCAAAATCTATTCTTTGTTAAAGCCTTAATTACAAATGATATTTTCAATAAAATTTATAATATAATTCAATTAAAGTAAGAGCTAATAACTGGAATATTTGCTTGTCCTTCAGCAATACTAATACAACAAGAGATACTAAAACTGTGTTACAGTTTCAGCAATAAGGAAGATTTAGCCAAGAGGTAGTGTTTGGAATAACAGCTTGTACCTTCAACAACACTAATACGCCAAGAGATACTAAAACTGTATTATAGTTTCAGCAATAAGGAAGATTTAACCAAGAGATAATAACTGGAATAACTGCTTGTACCTTCAGCAATTCTAATATAATAAGATATATTAAAACTACATTACCGTTTCAACATAAACTTGAACTGTTATACAAAATCTATAAATTTTAATTCCTGAATTCTTGATTATAAGTGGTGTAGCTTTTCCCTTCAACAATATCAGTTGACACTTGTTTACGGTTAATTACTGTACATACCTCTATAAACTTCTAATATTAATACTGAATATAAAAAAGTGCACAAAAGTTATTAGTATCAAGTGCACTATATTTTACATCATATTTTATCCTACCTTCTGACACGTCCAAAGATGACGAAACTTTGCTCTGAACAGACTCTTCTATTGGACTTCCTCTAACTGTGAGAGGATCAAATTCCTTGGAGCTGGCAACATTCACTATTTTATCACCATCTGTTACAGTATCATATACCAGAGATTCTAAATCAAATTCTAAACCTTAATATTCAGAAGACTGCTACTTCACAACAACAGAAATGGTTTTTAATATCATGATGAAAAATTATAATGTTTATTTAATTTCTTTATTTAAATCAGCATTTTTAGGTAACTAGCACTTTCATCAGAAATCATCATTCGGTAACTCAGTATTTCATGATAAATCATCATTATAAGGTAGGTAACTGTCTCATAATAAATGATTACTAGGTGGATCTTTTGTGATGAATTATTATTAGGTAGGTAACAGTTTCACAATAAATCTTTATCATCAGGTAGCTGCCTTATGACATATCAGATGGTTATTTCAGGATAAATCCTTATTATTAAGTACCTGTTTTATGACAACTTATCTCCACTACATAGGTTTTTCATGACAAATCCTCACTACTAGGCAAATGTTTCATAACATTAGGGCTCCATCAAGGTGAAAAATAATTCATTTAAATTTTATTAAAAAACTTCATGTAGAATATATATTTTCCTAAGAATATTAAAACGAGCATTGCTCATTATGTAACTTCTCAATTTCTACATGTTACTAGTAGTTTAAGTTATAGAATTCTTGAAATAAGTCTACTGAAACCTTATCCTCAGAGTCCAATTTAAATTTCAGTTTTATCAATATAATACTTATAAAAAGCCCTAAGTAATTTTTGTGGATGTAGTTTGCTATACACAATGTGTATACTATGTAAAAGAAGATCAAAATATTAACCCTTTTGAGATGGGTCATTGGTGAAAGGCTAAGTCATCTCATTTGTTTACTCACATTCAAAATTTTATTGAACTACTATTTCATGAATTTATGTCAATACTATGGTAATCAAACTGTAGATTATAATTACAATTTTAGTACTATACATTACTCAATTTAAAAGTAAATATTAAAAAACACAGATAAACATCAATTTTTGTGTGTTACGTGGTATGTTGAATACAGCACTTGTTCAAATTAGGTGTTTGTGAAGTCAAAATACTAAGCCCATAGTTTCATACGAATTAGAAACTCAAATTAGAGATATTGACAAGCTAGAATATAAAATAACAAGGTCTTATCTTTTTTATTTGCTACGATATTGCTCATGTAATAAATCAAATACATTGGCACCCCACCCACCTCTTTCCATTTTTGGAAATGCTCCCTATATACACTTACTTCTATATATAACATGAAGAACCAATTGGAAGTTCAGAATGTCCCTCTAGTGACTTTCTGAGCCATTTTAAATTCTT